ATGTGGGTAACAGAGTGAGAGAAAAGTTTTAGTGTGTATTCTATGTTGTAGGAGTCAAGTAAAACAAATAGGAAAATTAGGGAAGCAATGCATCCAGAGGGACCTTGACATGCTTGTGAGGTGGGCTGATGCCAAATTTATGAAGTTTAACCATGACAAGTGCAAGGTCCTACACCTGGGTCGGAGCAATCCAGGCACAGCTACAGGTTGGGCAGAGAAGAGATTCAGAGCAGCCCTGTGGAGAAGGACTTGGGGGTGTTGGTCAATGAGAAAATGAACATGAGTCAGCTTCTGTGTGCGCTTGCAGCCCAGAAAGCCAACCATATCCTGGGCTGCATCAAAAGGAGTGTGACCAGCAGTTCGAAGGAGGTGATCCTGCCCCTCTATTCTGCTCTCATGGACCTCACTTGGAGTATTGTGTGCAGTTCTGGTGTCCTCAACATAAAAAGGACATGGAACTGTTGGAACAAGTCCAGAGAAGGGCCACGAGGATGATCAGGGGACTGGAGCACCTCCCCGTATGAAGATAGGCTGAGAAAGTTGGGGCTGTTCAGCCTGGAGAAGAGAAGGCTGCGTGGAGACCTCATAGCAGCCTTCCAGTATCTGAAGGGGGCCTACAAGGATGCTTGGGGAGGGACTCTTCATTAGGGACTGTAGTGATAGGACAAGGGGTAACAGGTTAAAACTTAAATATGGGAAGTTTAGATTGGCTATAAGTAAGCAGTTCTTTACTGTGAGGGTGGTGAGGTACTGGAATGGGTTTCCCAAAGAAGTTGTGAATGCTCCATCCCTGGCGGTGTCCAAGGCTGGATTGAACAGAACCTTGGGTGACATGGTTTTGTATGAGGTGTCCCTCCCTGTGGCAGGGGGGTTAGAGCTACATGATCTTAAGGTCCTTTTCTACTCTTAACTATTTTATGATTCTATGCCCAGAATATATTAACCTGTGTTACTTCTGCCATCGTCATTACAGAGCTGACAGGGAAAAGCTAAATGGAAAAAAAACCCAGACCAAGGCAATAGAAGGAGAAGAGAGCAGTGTCCTGTGAAACTGTGTAAGGGAAATAACAGTTCAAGATGTAAAATGTCAAGGAGATGTGGAAATGGGAGTTTCTGAAAGTGGCCTTAAAAGGGTTAGGTCAGGAGAGATACTTCACTGAAGGAACTAAAAACTGGATTAATAATTTGGGAAACTTCAGTGAAATCCAAGTATAATCTTGGGAGATGGTCTGTTATTGAAGGCCAACGTTGATGAACAACCGCCATGATGCAATTTAATCTGCTCAAGTAGATGAAGGCAGATTTATTCTTTAGGTATGGCAATGTTCATGTTTTCATCATAACAGGCACATTTCTTACATTTCTACATCTATGTAGGATGTTTGTATCTTCTTAAAGTGAAGCCTGATGGTAATGAAAGCATTCAGTACAGTAAGCTAGTAACTATTGCTGTTCACATAGAAAGGTAATCAGGAGGCAGGATTGCTAGAATGTTGTATCTTTTTATCTGTGGAACAAATACTTCACAAACTTTGTTTCTTGAAACTTGTCTGTGTAAGTATATCTCCAGGACAAATAAATATGAAAGCAGCTTAGTTATAACAAATGTGAAATTTTTATAACTACAACTATAGTAATTAATGATCACTAAAGATCTCAAGGTGCTTTGATTCTGCTTTCACTTATGTTAGTTGACGTGGAGCAAGGCACTTCATATCTCTGTATTTCAGTTTTAAGGAAATCAAGATGGGGACTAAATTAACATGCCAAAATTGAAGGTTCTTTTGAGTGCTTATGAAGCTGCAACTAACATACAGAATTAGTCACATAGGCAGGGGTGCTAGATAGTTGCTTAAAATGCATAGCCAGTATGAAATAAAACAGAAAATTACACATATTTTCTCATGTCAAAGTTTTGTATGCAAGAAAGTACAGATATGAGGGGGTAATCCTAAAAAAAATTATCACTGGAGTTTTCTTCTGGGATTGTATAATCCTTGATCATTCCTTCCTAAGAAACTAAAAGATGTCATAAGAATTAATGACTTTTTAACAGACTGGAGTCTGTTATGTAGCTGTTCACATCTGTGTAACTAATTTAGAAAGTAATACTGTTGTTCTTTATGTTCCAAAAGCTTATTCGCACCCTTCAGTGTAGTACATGTGGAGAGGTTGAACTTCTGGGAATCCACTGTATTTTTATGTAGTGGAAGAATTCAATTAGAAATATGATATTCTGTTTCATATTCTGTAATTTAAAGAAAGCAATTTGGAAAATATGAAACCTTTTTTGCTTAGTCATATTAGTTTTTTTACTGCTTAATATATTATCTCAAAACAGAAAGGTGCAAGGAGATAATGTTTACTGTGTAGTGTATCCTTTCAGGCAGAACATAATCAAACTACAAAATACCAGGATGTAGAAGCGGGTTGACTAAATCTTCATTGTAACCCATGGACAAAAGCTACAAAACACTGCAGAAATGCCTCAACCAAACCAGTCTTTCCTGAGATATTTCATCTGTGTTTGGTTGGGCTGTGCTGGGAGATAAGGGGCGCCTATTTGCTGTGGTCTGTCAAACCTCTGGTCATTTTGCTGCTAATAAACAAGCAGCTTTTGATTAGTTTCAACTGCTGAATGCAGTTCTCTCTTGTTACACAACTGGTGATCAGATCTGTATTCCACAAATAAGTGACTCTGAATGCAGCCTCCCATCAGAAAGGGTTTTGCTTTTTCTCTCCTTCTGTCTGCTTTGCAAGTAAATTATTCCTTCTATAGACCCATGTAGCCTGCTTCTCTCACCCTCAGTGACAGCAAAGCTCACTGGTTGGTGATCTCTGCAGGGGCTTATAGCTCAGCTCTGCTGTTCTCTCCCTCTGTTCCCACTTCTCTGTTCCCTCCCCTACTGTGTCTAAATAAATTACCTGTATGACATGTTCAGTTTTCTCTGACAAGAAGCCTGGGAAATCAAATCTGTTCCCGAACCTGGGTCTCCCATTTGGCAAATGCAATGCCTCCCTGCTGTTAAATCAGGTCAGCTCTCAGGAAAAACAAAGAACAATTTCATATAACTATAATCAGCACAGGGTAAATTTAGATAATGCAACTGACATATGTTTATTGTAAAGATCAACAAGGAAATAATTCTAAAAGTACTTCATCTTCCTCTGTTGCATTAGGGTACATGTTGAATGTTCTATACATAGAGAAGATCAAACATTTTCTTTCTGTTATCTCATATCAAAGTGAAATATATTTATTTTCTGTGTGGTCTAAGAAGTTATTTGGTGAAGTGGTTCATTGGTTGCATTAGAAACAGTTTAATGTATTTAATTATGGTGGCTTTATGTAGTTAATATTAACTGATAATTAACTGTTAAGTACAATTAATTATATAGAATCATAGAATAGTTAGGGTTGGAAAGGATAATAAAATATATATTATTTATTCATAACCCATCCTGTCCCTTTGAAATGTTGGCCTCTGGAAGTGGAGATATACTGTTTAGAGAAGGAAAACCAAATCTTTTCAGTTCGTGTTCATTTTTCTACTTTTCTGCTTAGTCCCTTTCCACTGGAGACCAGCAAGTCAGTAACAGGGTGGCAGCACCTCTGTCCTGCATTATCAGAACTGTTATGTGCCCCGGCAGTCACACAGCACATGCTGTCCATGGGCAGCCTGCTGTCTTGCGTGCTGAGGCAGTCACCTTGCATGGGAGAAGCACCAATGTGGGCAGCCTTCCCTCTCCGTCTAGAAAATGCATTTCCAGCCCTCAGCTATTCTGCATGTCCTGGAGTGGCTCTGAATTATGCACTGTTATTTTGTTTATCCACTGTTAGCAAGCTGAATTAAACTTCAGGAGGATTGTGGAGCATCTCCATACCTGTTTGGGACAGAAGCATCTCCAGACCTTCTGTCTGGCTTTATTAGGATGGGCCTCTGTCCTGGGGGAGCAGAGTGGCTGGCTTCCTTTGGGCAAGCTGTGCACATGCAGGTATGTTTAGGGGCTGAAACAGCTACTGAAACCTTGAGCTTACCCCCATCGCTCTTCAAAGAGAGGAGTAGGAAGTGCCAAATGCTTCTGGGGGACCCTCAGGGCTGGTGCAGTGCTAACTTATGAGCGCTCACTGTGCTGAGCTCCCAGGGGCCAACTTTGCTGCTGTTCATTCAAGAGGACTAGTGAAAACAGGAATCAACAGCTGCCTTAGTCTTACACAGTCTTACCACCACCACTGACTAAATAGCTGCTGAATTATAGCTGGGGGCCTTGGCTGGAAACGTTTTCCAGCCCCAGCTGAATATTAGCTTGTCTTACTTTGGGGAGTCCTGAGAGTCCTGTTTCAAACTCAACTAACACTTCCTTCTCAAAAGAAAATGGGCTCAAATGTATATGCTGTATTTTTAAATAGTACGTGCTTTTCTAGATCTTTTTGAAGACAGCTACAGTGTTGTTAATAATTGTTTAGTCATTCGTGAGTTACCTTTGTTCTAACAAGTACCTTTGTTGTTTCTCCATTACTCTGAGATGTACAGTGAATGTTTTTTCATCAATTAAAAAAATGCTTCAAAACTCTATTGTCTAAGACAAATCCTTGAAACAAAAGAAATTGCTTTTTATTGTCCAAAGTCTTAATCCAGTGTGCACAAGAAAGATTAAGAAGCAGAAGCAGTGAAGTGGGTTTTAAAAGACGAGCTCAGTTCCTGCTTCCCCCAGGAATGGCCTGAAGCAAGGGCTATAATCTCTGTCCACACTGCCTCCTGTCTGAAGAAATGACAGCAGTAATGTTACATGTCCTCTGTCTTATCAATACAGATTGCAGATACTGTCTCCTTCCGTAAAGGTACAGGACCTGACTCTGAAAGGCTTCAGCTGATACTGTGATAGAAATAATTTCAGCTCTGTGCTAATTGCCTGTCTTGTTCCCTTCTTAGCATCTAAGTTTGTAAAAGGAATTGTTGAGCTTGTTCTAACCCTCCTTTATTTCTTGTCTTCTCCAGCCTGTGATCTGATGACTCTGGGGATCTTAGCCTTAGTGACATCCACTGGTTGTGCCTCGGCCAATGCCCTGCAGTCCCTGACAGATGCCATGCACATTCCACACCTTTTTGTACAGCGCAACACAGGAGGCTCCCCACGCACAGCCTGCCACCTGAACCCCAGCCTGGAGGAGGAGGAGTACACTCTGGCTGCCCGACCGCCGGTCCGCCTCAATGACGTTATGCTGAAACTGGTCACTGAGCTGCGGTGGCAGAAATTCATAGTATTTTATGACAGTGATTATGGTAAGTAAAGTGGAGAATTTCAGATGCTGTTAAATCGGTTTCTTCTTAACGGGGACATGGGGAGGAAAATATAGTGGAAGAGGTGGGATATAGCTTTCTGGGTTCTTCATTGACAAAAGGGAAAGCGTTTCAAGTGGATGCAGGTCTTTGGTTTGAAGGAAAGGTTGCTGTGAAAACTAGTTCTCAGGCAAGCAGCAAAGTTGCTTAGCAACACCTACCAAGACAGCTGAAGTTTGAATCATCTCACACTTTTTCAGTAAAATATTAATGAAGTGTTGACATTGATTGGCAGGGGTCACAGCTGTGCAAGGAAGTTCAACATGGCCTCTACCCATTCCCAGAAAACACTTTCTATCAAAGCTGAGTACCATTCTCTTTAAAAATTAATTTTCATAATAACTATTTACAGTTTCTTTTTTCACATGCTTCCTCACACTGTTCTCCATTTGGGCTAAATTTCACAGTGGTATACTTCCTGGCATTAAACCAAAGGTAGAGTTAATATTTTCCCTATATCTAAGGCATTTCCTTCAGCAAAATTTTTACTTTGGGGTGGAACTTGAGGAAAAGGAGTTTCTGCCCAAGCAAATTATGATGGGTGTAAAAAATGAATGGAAAAAATCTTTCATTGTGCCAAGCTCTTACAGTGAAAGAGAATTGTGTGTATAATTTCATTTTTATTTCACCCCTTCCACCAGCTCAACTGATATGAACACTGTTCCATAGATGTAATTCTGTTGTATTCTCAGGACTCGCATCTTAGGGTGTAGGATCTACAATAGATGTAAGGTAAAAAGATGTAATGGGGAAAATAAATGTTCTACAGTATATTTTAAGACCCTGCAGACACTTTTGGTTTAAAATGTGATGAGTAGCTTTTGGTGTTGGTGACTTATTATGAACAGAATACAAAGAAAGGAGACTAGGTTAAATTGCAGTTGGAAAAATAATCTTACGTGTATCTGTGCATGTAGTTTGGATCTTGTATCTAGTCTTCCACAATTGCAAAAGATTCATATTTGCATTCATCTCCTATAATGATAGATTTTCAGTGGTGAATCAGAGAGAAATAACATCTTTGGTTTTGAGGTTTGGCTACTCCTGGTTAAAAAAAAACCAAACAACTCAAACAACAAAACCCAACCAACTGAACAACAACAACAACAAAAAAACGGACTCCTAAGCTTGGAGGAGTTCTGAAAGTCTTAGGTACAGCTTTCTATTCTCAGTTGTTAGAGATGTCACTGCTGTTTCTTCAACAGGTGGACCAAGCATGATGAGGGTGATTTTAAGTGGGAAATCAACTGAAACTGTAGCATCCTTTAATTCTATAGAATTATTTTATGCATGAGAAGGCTGCCGTGATGCCTTCTCAGTCAAAAATCTAGCAAGCGAGCAAATAAACTGCCATGTAATTACTGTCCTATGTAATGCTTGACCAGTGAATGATTTGAAAGCAAAAAACACAAGCTATGTGGTAGGTATTCTTTTGGTGGCCTTCTGATAGCACTAAGAAAGTTGTTAAGTAGCAGAGGATTGGGTTTAAAAAGTTAAAATTATTCTAAAAGTTATTTCCAAGAATGAAAAAAAAGAAAAAGATCTTAAATGGATGCTTTACAACCATTCTTTTTATAGTTACTGTTGTTTTCAGCCTGCTGATTTGTAGCCTTAAACTTCCAGAACTGTTTGAGTTAGGGATCTTTCAACCTCTGTGTTGGGAATCCTAGCCCTGGTAATACCCCAGATGTTCTATGTATAAACTCCTGTTTACCCATTTTCCTTGGTAGCAAACCTGGTTACTGAACTGTGGTATCACCAATTCCAGCAGTGCATCTGTGTCTTTGCCTTTTTCTGCAAAGAGTTAACATCTCAGTACCAAATCCTGAAACCCTTAATTCAAATACCGTGTAAAGTCAGTTATGATCAAATTTATCTTTTCCATTTAACACAGACTGACCTTCAGTCCACATCAGTAAGACACTAAAAGGGGATGGAAAATTGCCACAGGTGTTCTGTTCCTTCCAGCTGAGAGTGCATTGTGTACTGCAGCTGCCTAAGTACTGTTTCCTTTCTTCCTCTTGGATGTGACAACCATCTTATACCCATTCCAATAGATGGATTTTTTTTTTTTTTTCATAAGAATTTGGTGTGAGGATTTTCTGTAATGAAACCAACTGAACCTTGCAAACTCTGGGTAGGCATTGGTGAAGAAGGGATAAATAATCTAGGTCCCAGGAGATTGCATGCTGAGCTCAAGAACAGCAGCCTGGCTCCCAGGGCATGCCCATTGCCCTCGTTATCTAGCTTCAGCAGAACCATGCTTACACATTTCCAGTCATAAAGAAGCAGTTAATTTAAAGAATACATGTTTGTGATTGCAGAGGGTTTCCAGCCCTGAGCTTCTGTTGTTTGCTGTAATAAATGGTCCTTCTTTACCTGCTGTCTGGATATATTTATCTGGAAAATATACTATTTCCTTGAGTAATGTTCTAATTTCTCCATCTGCTGATCTCTTAAAAACCAGCCAATACCTTAGTGTCCTCCTTGTGGATACTGTCAAGTTTTCTAAAAACAAAATAAACAAGGCACAATTTAAAGAAATCCCATGTTTATAGTAGTGCTGTTTTAAACTGGAACCAAAAATTGTTCACCTCAGGAATTGCTTGTCCCTTAGCAGACACGCATTTTTGGATTATAATTGCCGGACTGGCTAAACTAAGGAAAAGTAACAGACTTGGCAATTAAAAATACAGAGCAGTCACTGAACAGCCTTACAAGCCCCTGAATCGTCAATGCATAAAATAGTTAGGGTTGGAATGGATCTTAAAGGTCATCTAGTTCCAACCCCCCTGCCATGGGCAGGAACAGTGAATATTATGCTTATGATAAAATATACATTGTTTTACACTCCTAACACTTACTTTACAGAAAGAAATCTGTATGCACAACTTCAGTGAAAGAATATGGTCCTTTCCAGTAAAATATCTCAAATTCTGCAACAAGAAATTGAGAGGTTTTGCAGGAAAGTTGCTGAAGTTTTAAAGAAAACAATTGCTAACTGGAAATGGTAGAAACAGGGTAAAAGCTGTGGTGTTCCACCTAATGTGAAACCAGCTTTTAGATTGTGTCACTTGTGGTAAAGAAATACATAACTGCAAGGATGAGTGATAGCTTGGTTCTGGAGAAGTGACCTTTCAAAGACCTCAGACTTAATTTTTACAGTATTCAGACTCTTTTCGATTATATGCTGTTGCACTGAGCAGTACCAGTGGGGGAAAGTTCAGTTGACACATAACCGTATAGTTCTGTATTTGCATAAGAAAAGAAAAGGGTTGATGTCATACTGCATCTTCCTGACTCAACCCTTGTTTTGCTGTTTCTCTCACGGTTTGTGCGTAATTTCAGAGGATGTGTGGAAATTTATTCCACTTGATATATAAAAGGAGCTTTCTACTAATGAGACTGCTGCCTGATACAAAAATGATGACTAGGCACTATAGCAATTCAAGTCATAGATAAGTCTCCTGCCTTGCTGATGTGTTGCAGAGCTGATGGAGCTCAAGGCCAGAATGAGACAGTCTGATCCCTCTTTCTGTCACTGCCATGCCATACCATCTTGAGAAGCCTCTCTAGCCCCTGTATATGCTTGCTTTTCCCATGTATGAAATGGAAAGTAAAACATTCCTCCCAGTGTGACTGACCTGGTGTTTGAAATTTCTGTAGAAATTCTTTAGACAGCAGAATTAAGTGGCACAGTCAGGAATATGGCAATAACAGTAAGCGCCCAAGGGACCACGGTCATGATAGATACATTATTTTACTTTAAATGTCGTTATAAAAATGCCATGCTCAATTGTGGTATCTGACACTAATTTTCTGGGGAAAACACCAAGTTGATTCTATGTTTGTCAGTGGCTGTCAGATGGTGCTCTGTGGAACTAGGTCTACTAACCCGTTAAAGAACCTGCAACGGAAATTAGATCTGTGTCATCCTAATCATCATCATTTTTGTCATCCAAATTGATTTCTCTTCAGTTGTTCTGATGTGTTATGAATTGCTACAGGAGCATCTTTTGTGCCTCTACATACATTGCATCAGTGTGTAAGGGTCTGCTGGGAAGTGTAAAGTTTTATTTTGCTGACCTCTTGGATGTAGAAGCATCAGTAATCACATTTTCTGACACAAAAATTGGTAGCATGACAAGTTTTGTAAATAATCTTACCAAGCTCTAAAGTTAGTATATGTTAAAAGCAGTGGGTGCTGCCCACAGTAAGATACAGTTGGGTAATAAACAGTTGAAAGTGTGCTTCTAGGGTGGGTAAATAAACCGGTGTACGGTTAGAGGAAAGATTTGAGAAGGATTTTGGAGGCTGGATGTGAAAGTGAAAACAGTGATGAATACTAACTCATATTTTTGAAAGCAAATGTAATAGCTTTATTTTCATTAGTTTAATCTCCCTGTTGAAAAGCACTTTGTAGTTATATTGAGTCTCTCTGGTTTCCTACATACATGTGCACATGCCCGTATTACAAAACATAAGATAGGTTTTTTGGTTGGTGTTTTGTTTGTTTGTTTTTTGTTGGTTTTTTTTTTGTGTTTTTCTTTTTTTTAATGACTCCATTTTGTCAGTGAAAGTGAAACTAGATGTATGAAAAGGAGCTGTAATATTTTATTCTTAATTTGTGGTGTCAAAAAGTGAGTGCTATCTGGTTAAGAAAAGTGTTATAAAAAATTTTTACTGAAGAAACTTTTAAAGAATATTGAACCTTTTAAATCTATCTATGGAACTTTGTAAGTACCTGGAAAAAAGCCAAACCCACCATGTATTCATTTATAAATGATTTTATTTTTTACGATTAGAGATTTTTTCTTTATGATAATTGATGCCACGTTAATTTTGAATTGTGCTATGTAAAAAGCTCTTGATTTTTCAATATGCTGAGTTTCATACATTTTGTTTCCTACAATAATTACGTGACAGTTTTGAGTCCTACCTGT